CCCGCCCAGCCACTAGCCCCTGTGGCTGTGCTAGCTGGGGTGGTTCAACCTGGCCTGGCGTTTGTGGCTCAGGAAGGCCAGGCCCCTCGAGACTCCTCTGATCCCAGCCTGTTCCTAGTGGGGACCTCCAGGTGACAGGCAGTGCCCACTGTACCTTCACCACTGCCCAGAAGGCCGTCGGCAAAGACAACTTCACGCTGATCCCCGAGGGCACCAATGGTGTGGAGGAGCGCATGTCCGTGGTCTGGGAGAAGTGTGTGGTGAGTACAAACCTGGGGTGCACAGGCCACCGGGGATGCTGCCCCCAGGATTCTGACCATCTGCTAGGAAGGGGAGCCGCTTACGCTGTAAATGCTGGTTAACTAGAAGTTGGAGTGTATGACCCCCCCAAGATGTCATACCCCACTCTTGAGTCACAGATTGTCATCCAGGGTTCCTCAGACACCTGTTCTGGTCCCTCCCGATGAGACTTCGTCAATGTCAGGGATGGCTGCTGCCCTCCCCACAGATCTAAGATTGCATTTAGAACGTATGTATGTAGGGGCCAGGATTGGGTATGATGATTAAGGTACTGCACTCTCACATGGCAGACTGAGGTTTGAGTCCTGGACTCGGTGACTTGAAAATCATGCCAGGCCTGTGTGTGTGTGTGCCCAAAATCCTAAGAAGAGAATAGAGGAGAAGGGATTATGGCATGGCCATCCCCCCCCCCCTCAGGGGGGGATTTCTTATTTTCCATCTCTCTATCTCTGTCTGTCTCTCTCTGGTGAGCACACATGCCCTCTGGCCAAAAAAATCTTTTTAAAAAAGTTGCATTTGTGGGAACCAGCAGTTGGCGTAATGGCTATGTCACTGGACTCCCACGTAGTCGACCGCGGTTCGTGTCCCGGACCCAGTGGCTTAAAACTCACACCGGGCACGTGTGCGTGCGTGCCCAAGATCCCGAGAGGAGAATGGAGGAGAAGGGATTGCGGCGTGACCATCCCCCCTGGGGGGTGATTTCTCACTTTCTGTCTCTCTGTCTGGTGAGCGCACGCACGCTATAGCGAAAATCTCTCAAAAAAAACCATCAACAACAACAACAAAAAAAGTTGCATTTGCACCCTTGGGTTGGTGAGAATGGGTCCCCTGACAGAGTTAACCCCCCATGTTAGTGGTCCTCCTGAAACTCCTGAGATTTCCTCATGCTTCCATCTCACCGCCCTGCCCTCTGTTGCCCTGTATGGCATCCTTACCCCCTCATCCTGGTCCTGAGCTCTTCCCTCAGCCAGCCCTCCCTCCTGGGCTTCCCAGGGAGACTGTCATGGTCTTTCAGGGGACATGGATGCTACTGAAACTTCAGCTTTTACTCACAAGGTGAGTACAGAAATCAGGCTTTGTCCACAGGAAGACGGACAGGTTTGACTGAGGACCCGTGGGTTCACACAGGACACGTGGTGCCTTCCACCTGGGGCATTTGAGCTCCCCCCTTCTAACTGGGGTGTTGCCACAGCAAGATGGTCCTCCTGAGCCTGGGACCTGGGGTGCAGTCTGATTCCCTCCCCCTCTGGGGGCACCTTTCCCCCTCAGCTCAGCCTTCTTGTCTCTCAGGCCTCGGGGAAAATGGACGAGAATGAGTTTGTTGCCGTGACCAGCACAAATGCTGCCAAAATCTTCAATTTTTACCCAAGGAAGGGGCGAGTGGCCGTGGGGTCTGATGCCGACCTGGTTATATGGAACCCCAAGGCCACGAAAATCATCTCTGCCAAGAACCACAACCTGGTAGGAAACATCTTGTTCCTGACATCAGGGCTGGTTCGAGGGGTGCTGAGGGGCCCCAAGGCAGCTTTCACAGAGAGTTCCAGGGGATGGGGACCGTGGCCCTGCTGCCCCTGCTCCATGTGGCCCTCACAGGCAGGAGCAGCAGCTTGGTCCATCAGGGCAACTTCTGCTGGTGCCCCTGGGCAGCCCCGACAGGCTCCCCTGCCTTATCTTGCCACTGCTGCACCAGAGCTGTGACTGCCACCTCTGTGGGCCCATTGTGCAGATGAGCGACTGAGGCCGAGTGGTGTATGTACCTGCCCGGTTAAGGGGAAAGTGACCCGTACTGCCTGCACAGGAATGTTCCCTTGGTCCTTTTAAGAAGCACATGATTTAGGAGCGGGCGGGGAGGTTGAGGGCTGGGTCCTTCTGAAGTCCGCCTGATCTGAGTAGACCATTAGGAGTCTCAGCACCGGCGCTGACAGGCCTCCTCCAATGCGGGTCAGTGGGCAGCGCTCTGGCGGCTATAGGGAGATGGGGGCGAAGGGGTCCCCAGGACATGGCACCAGACCTTTGGGCCTCTGCACCCAGAACGTGGAGTACAACGTATTCGAAGGAGTGGAGTGCCGAGGGGCCCCCACGGTGGTCATCAGTCAGGGCAGAGTGGTGCTGGAGGATGGGAACATGTCCGTCACCCCAGGGGCTGGCCGCTTCATTCCCCGGAAGACCTTCCCGGACTTCGTCTACAAGAGGATAAAGGCTCGAAACAGGGTAAGGGCCAGACCACGGTGGGCTCATGCGGGTGGGCAGGTGAGCAGGGGCGAGTTCTTGGTCAGGATACAGGGGCACCTTTACGTTCATCAGGTTTCACCTGGTCAGCCTGCCCCTGCCCGCCAAGGGGTCAGCATGGTGGAGCCTGCCTCTGGGGAAGTGGCAAGGAGGGCCTCCCCCAGGCTCCCCGTCAGCTGGGAACTCGATTCCTACTGGCAGCCCTGGATTCTTTTGTTACCCAAGTTAATCTGCCGTGGTTAGAGAAAAGATGGGTATAAGAGAAATAGTAAATCCTTTGCAGCCACCTTCCGAGTAAACGGCCATCAAGTCTTTAGACCCTTCCCGGGCTTCTCCACGAGTAGATATGCCCTGTGTAAATCAGGCTGTGGGCCGTTCTTGCAATGGGCCTTCGTGAACTTAGACGTGGGCCCATTTCACAGCCTTCGCACCTCTCCCCCTGGTCTTGGCCATGTCTGTCCGTGCTCGTCATGTTTGATCCTGTGCCAGCTGGTGTGTCTGCCAGGGCCACTGGATGCTTCTTCATCCGCACACATACACCACCCACATGCACCTGCAACACACACACACAAGCGCATACACTCTTGCCACTGCTGCACCAGAGCTGTGACTGCCACCTCTGTGGGCCCATTGTGCAGATGAGCGACTGAGGCCGAGTGGTGTATGTACCTGCCCGGTTAAGGGGAAAGTGACCCGTACTGCCTGCACAGGAATGTTCCCTTGGTCCTTTTAAGAAGCACATGATTTAGGAGCGGGCGGGGAGGTTGAGGGCTGGGTCCTTCTGAAGTCCGCCTGATCTGAGTAGACCATTAGGAGTCTCAGCACCGGCGCTGACAGGCCTCCTCCAATGCGGGTCAGTGGGCAGCGCTCTGGCGGCTATAGGGAGATGGGGGCGAAGGGGTCCCCAGGACATGGCACCAGACCTTTGGGCCTCTGCACCCAGAACGTGGAGTACAACGTATTCGAAGGAGTGGAGTGCCGAGGGGCCCCCACGGTGGTCATCAGTCAGGGCAGAGTGGTGCTGGAGGATGGGAACATGTCCGTCACCCCAGGGGCTGGCCGCTTCATTCCCCGGAAGACCTTCCCGGACTTCGTCTACAAGAGGATAAAGGCTCGAAACAGGGTAAGGGCCAGACCACGGTGGGCTCATGCGGGTGGGCAGGTGAGCAGGGGCGAGTTCTTGGTCAGGATACAGGGGCACCTTTACGTTCATCAGGTTTCACCTGGTCAGCCTGCCCCTGCCCGCCAAGGGGTCAGCAAGGTGGAGCCTGCCTCTGGGGAAGTGGCAAGGAGGGCCTCCCCCAGGCTCCCCGTCAGCTGGGAACTCGATTCCTACTGGCAGCCCTGGATTCTTTTGTTACCCAAGTTAATCTGCCGTGGTTAGAGAAAAGATGGGTATAAGAGAAATAGTAAATCCTTTGCAGCCACCTTCCGAGTAAACGGCCATCAAGTCTTTAGACCCTTCCCGGGCTTCTCCACGAGTAGATATGCCCTGTGTAAATCAGGCTGTGGGCCGTTCTTGCAATGGGCCTTCGTGAACTTAGACGTGGGCCCATTTCACAGCCTTCGCACCTCTCCCCCTGGTCTTGGCCATGTCTGTCCGTGCTCGTCATGTTTGATCCTGTGCCAGCTGGTGTGTCTGCCAGGGCCACTGGATGCTTCTTCATCCGCACACATACACCACCCACATGCACCTGCAACACACACACACAAGCGCATACACACGCACACACACACACTACTGTGCACAGTGGTTTACTTCATCCCAGCTCTGTTTTTCCTGAAGGATGTGGTCCAAACTTGGAGTGAGGAGGGATCAGGATGGGCTGGGGGCTTGTCCCCACAGGCGGGGGCTGGGGTGCTGGCTTCCTTCCTCTGCAGGGAGAGTGGCATCTGTGCTAACTTGCAAAGACACTGCTGTCACAGGCTGTCAGGGACCAGGCAGCCACGCATCCAGATCTGACTGTGGAGCTTCACTCCCTCTTCCCTCAGGGTTTGAATGAGGCAGAGCAGGGGTCCAGACCCAACACACATTGCATGAGGCCAGAAGGCTATCCCATCCCCCACCTTCAGGGTGGGGGCAGAGGCATGAATGGGGCACCCTGACTGGGGCCTGCAGCAGGGCAGCTCCGAGATCAGACTCGGCCCATTCACAGACAAGGGAAGGGAGATGGGGAGAGGTGCAGGCCTGCTGTGCACACCTGGTGGGGGCTGCATTCAAACCCCCCTGAGTCCTTGGGACTCAGCCTTTGTCCACTGGCCAGCTGCGCCCTCAGGGCAGGATGTCAGAGTCTTCCATGGCTGGGCTCAGGCCTGGGAATCATGCCTCTAACCCATGAGTCCTCAGGGAGGTGCCAGCTGGAAACACAAGGACTGAAGGGTCTGACTTCAGTCCACGGTTCATTCGTCCACTGTGGGGCTCCTGGGAAAATGCCTCTGACTTTGGGGACCATTTTCTGGGAGAATAACATAGCCTTCATCTCAGGGCTCCCTCAGAGTGGGGGCCATGCTGGAACCACAGAAAGTTTGGGCCCTGAGGAGGCAGCAACTTTGGGGGCTGGTGTCCCTCCCTTGGCAGGCAGATAGCCCTTCTCTGGGCAGTGCTCCTGCAGCTCAGGCCCCAGCGGCCTGGTGTGTGGCGTGTGTCTTGTCTGTGCAAGTGTGAGGGAGAGATGTGTAGGGAGGTGTGAGGGTGTGCGTCCCTGAGTATTTAAGACTGAAGGGTGGGACATGTGCACACGAGTATGCAGGTGTGTGCACACGTGTGTTGGGGGCATTGTGAGGAGGGAGGCATGTGTATGTGCACACAGGTGGGTGTCTCCATTGGAGGAGCCTGGAAATCCTGAACCCGGCACAGAAGCCCAGACCAGAGCAGGCCCTGCTCTCGGGCCGGAGCGCCTGCCCTCCTGCTCTCGGCAGGCTCAGCCCCCTCACACCTAGTCCCTTGGCCCTGCAGCTGGCAGAGATCCACGGTGTGCCCCGAGGCCTCTATGATGGGCCAGTCCACGAGGTGATGGTGCCTGCCAAGCCAGGGGGTGGTACCCCGGCTCGTGCATCCTGCACGGGCAAGATCTCCGTCCCACCCGTGCGCAACCTGCACCAGTCGGGATTCAGCCTGTCGGGTGAGTTGAACCTGGAGTGTGGGGTGGGTATGCTGGGCTCTGCCGGAGCATTCTAAGGGGCAAGAAGTTTCCCTGCAGCCATGGGGTTTCAGGCACCAGGGCCCAGCCTATGCAGGGAAGGTTGGGGAGCTGGGCTGAGGGCCGCAAGATCTGCCCACACCTGGGCCTGCACACAACCAGGAACTTCAAGTCCTTGCGGGTCTTAGGCTCTATTGGGCAGTTTCCTGTGCACCTGAGGCCTCACAGCACTCAGGGAGTGAAACCAACCTTGGGAGCACATTGTGAGGTCGGGGCTGAGGGCTCTGCAGTCCTGGCCTCTTGGAGGCAGCCAGCCATGCCAGTTTCTCCCTTTTGGATAGAGGGGACCATCCTCCCACTCACACTGTCTAGTGTCTTTTCCAAGCCCATCCCTGCCCTTTGTTCAGGTTCTCAGGCCGACGACCACATTGCCAGACGCACGGCTCAGAAGATCATGGCGCCCCCTGGTGGACGATCCAACATCACTTCTCTTTCCTAGACGTGTGGGACTTGCGATCCAACAAATTGGTGCTGTTCCCAGCGGGTGGACCGCCTGGGGACCGCTCACCTCAGTTAGCTTTTTCCTTTGTAGAAGTTATTTTGAAAGGTGCTCAGCCTTACCTTCCCTCCCCCGCAAGCTCTCCTTTTGGGGTCCCAGGTCCTGCTAGGAGGAGCCCCCTCAAGAATCTGGGGAGATTTCACTGCCAGGGTGAGGAGGCAAGATGTGGCAGGGATAGCTCAGGTGCCCCCAGCCTGGGTGGTAAGTGTCCTAATGCCAGCGTGGCCTCATCATGAAGGTTGGGGCCATCAATGAGGGCTGTGGGACCCCCCGGGTGCTTCACAGAATGCACAGGAACAGCTGGGCTGGCTGAGAAGCTCATTCAAGCTCTAAGCTGATGAACCTGCGAGGGTCTGAGTGCAGGCTAGGTGGGCGTTGGCTGCCTCCTCCCCATTGCGAATCACTGCCCTCACAAGCCCCCAGCTCCTGCCTGCTCCACGGTGCTCAGGTGCAGCCCGTCGCCCTGCCCACCCTGGTGCAGGGGGGAGAGCGAGGGTGCGTGGGCCCTCCTGCCCTTGAGGAGCTGCTGTGACTTCAGGGATCCATCGGGACTTAGCGTAGAGTAGCTCCTTCCCAGGTAGGGACTCGTTTGTACACGTTTCCAAGGACCAAACCTATGCTTTCTAGTGGCCCACCTCCAGGGGAACTGTACGATCCGTTAGCTAAGACGCTCTCCTTTTACTACAAAATGTGTGTCAATAGATTTATTAGAGTAGCAGTTTTGTACTGTGAGGACAACTGTAGCCAGGAATCTATGCATGCCACCCATACCCGGTCGGTGGGACACTCGCCCCAAGTCTGATGTGAATTGGGTCAATTAAAGATGTCTGGTTAGAAGCCACCTGCGTGTGAACAGCCAGCCTCTTTACCTCCTCGCGCTGTCTCCCCACAGTGGTTTGTGTGCAGACCCTTGGAAGCCCTCTGCTGCCCCCACCCTGGCCTCGTGCTGCTGTGAAGCGCGTGGACCTAGATGCATCCTTCACTGACCTGTCTACTCTGCCCTCTGGCCAGGGGCAGGGCTGGGTCTGAGTGCTGGGGAAGGAGAGGGAGTTCCACTCATAGGGAAGGGAGCCTGCAGGGCTGCAGACAACCAGGGGCTCAGAGAGACACTGGCTGTGACCCACAGCCAAGTGCTTAGAGGGAGGATCCACACACACACAATTCTGAGTAGATGGGTCCAAACCAGGCCAGGGCAGCATGGCGCAGCGGGAGCACTTGAAGTCAGAGCATACCTCCTGGAGGAGGCTAGGGAGGGAGTGGAGGCCAGGGAGGAAGTGGAGGCCGCCCAAGGAGAATGTCACTCACACAGGCCTGCAAAACCAGCCCTGGCTCTTAAGGGATCTGATCCAGAACCTTCTAGATCTGCCGGCTGGCCTCCTGGTCTCAGCCTCTTTCTCATAAGAAATGGTGTGGAAATGTTTCCAGAAGGGTGTTTTCACCCCCAGAAGAGGGACAGGCCATGATCACTGTGCACCACTGGCAGAAGGCAAGCCCTGGAGGGCCACTGGTGACTGTCCTCACAACTCACCACTGCTTCCCTGGCCGCTGCCCGGTGTCAGTTCACGGACACCAAGGAGCATTTCCTGCTGTGGTCTCTTGGGGGCCACAGACTGCCCCTTGAATCTGGGGATCCTATAAAGCTGCACTGGCCCCAGGCAGCTCCTCTGGAGAAGGCCCTTCTCCCACCCACGTGCGTCTGGTCAGTGCAGCCTTGGGGCTGCGTCCCTGGGGCTCCCTTGAGGTTGATGCCCACTATGTCAGGGTCCCCAGTCCTCCCCTCAGCAAGGAGAGGGCATGATCAAGAAACCAGACAACACTCGCTTTCCTGCCGCATCGTAGAGATACATCATGGCCTCACCCCATGGTCTCCCGAACACATTTATACAAATCCCCAACTCCTTCCCTGTTCCTGCCTCTGACACCAGGCTTCCCTCCAGGACGCAGCACCTCGGGGCCCTCGCAGGGCCTGCTGGTGACTCGGGCTCTATGTCCCTCCACGCCGCACTGAGCTGAGTCCCAGGTTCGCTGAGGGCCGGGCAGTTAATTCCCACGCATCTCAGAGCATGGGGGGTGGGTGACGGAGAGCTGCCTCCTCTGCTCTTGGTCTTGACCCTGCCCCTGAAACAGCCGTTTCATCCTCAAATATTCTGTGATCATTTTGCTTCCCGGTCATTTCACAGCACAGCTGAGGGGGGAAGGCCACGTTTGCTGGGTTCAGTGGACATAGGCCAGACATGTTCTGTCAGCGTGTCGAGGGACACAGACCCCACACGCTGCCTCCCGTAAGTGAACTGGTGCAGACCGGTCTGAGCCGGGGTTGATGGGGCTGAGCCCGTCCTCCCTCTATGCAGGAGAGAAGCAGGCAGTCTGTCCTAAATTCCCATTCTGACGCCAGAACCTGATGGCAGCAAGAGGGTGACGTCCTGTCTTAGAGAACATGCACTCCCCAGCTCTGCGAAGCCCCACCATGCAAGGCCCTGCCCCGGCCTCCTCCGCCTCAGGTACCTTCTCTGCCTTCGACTGCCTTGTGGCTGTGTGGAAGTCGAGGCCCCCTCCCAAGGCCTACCGCTCTGTGAAGCTTTGCTTAGTAGGGTGCCCTGAGGAGCCACCCACTGCCTGGCTGTCCCAAGCCACAACAGACTTTGTCTAAGTAAAACTTGCAGGCGTTGAGGGGCCAGCAGGCACACAGTGGTTAAGGTACTGAATTCCCACATGGCTGACCATGGTTTGAGCCCTAGACCTGGCAGCTTGAAAATCATGGTGGGTACGTGTGTGTGTGCCCAAAATCCCAAGAGGAGAATGGAGGAGAAGGGATTGTGGCGTGGCCACCCTCCGGTGAGGTGATTTCTCCCTTTCTTTTTCTCTGATGAGCGCATGCACCTTATGGCAAAACAACAAAACAAAAACGGTAGACACTGAGTGACTGCTTCGCAGGTACAGAATACATGTGCGACATTCAGCACTGAGCAGTTCTTACATTGTAATTTTCAGAGGTGAAAACTATACAGAAACACAGCAGAAATTGCCGGAACAGTTTGTATCTCTAGAAAACATTCTTCATCTTCCCACCCACTGCCCTCCCCCCACCCCTGCCCTTGATGTACAAGAATGGAGAGAGACCCTGCCACACCCACAGCGCTGGGTAGCAAGCTCACAGACTTTGGGGCAGCCAGATGGCAGGGCGTGGCCACGAGGGCTATGTACAGCCTAGAGTCTGTGAGAGACCAGAGGGCCGAGGGCTCCTTCCCACCCAGCAGTCCCTGGTCTCCCGGGGCCTGCAGCCAGCGGTCAGAGGGGCCACCCAGGAGCGGCCAAGGTTATGGCCTGTATGCCTTCCTCCACATTATAGTAACCAAGGGCCCGAGGGCTCCCAGCCCTCCTTGTCACACGGCTGCCCTTGACGGGCACATAGCTCCTGCCACTCTCAGCCGCACCAACACCTCGTCGCCCTGCACCACTTTGAGGGAGCAGGCTTGGCAGTGGGACTGTAGGTATAAAATGTGGCTGGACACCGTGGGCTGCCCAGGTTGGAAGGTGGAGGCCGGGCCTCCACCCGCCCCTCCCTTCAGCAGATCCGAGTCTCCAAAGCAACCTGAGAGCTCCCCATCCACGGCGCCTCCCTGGGTGCCTAGCTGCTCCCGGCTGAGGGGCAGATGGAGCCGCACATGGGCAGGGCTGAGCGCTCTTCCTCACTGTCCTCCGTGGGCTCTGCCATGTCCTTGACCTCGGGGGCGGCGAGGGGCTCGTTCGTGAGGTCCTGGCTCCTCTTCAGCCTGGGTTTGGGGGAAACACAGGGAGAGGCTCCATGCAGTTGCCATGGCCCTCCCAGAAGCCTCAGCAGACTTCTCATCCCAGCAAACTCATACTTCTCTGTTAAAGCAAAAATCCACTCAATTGTCAACCTTTATGTTTTATTTATTTATGTTTTTACAGAGATTTTTGCTATAGCTCACGTGGGCTTGATGGAAGACAGAGAGAGACAGGGAGACAGAAAGTGAGAAAGCACCCCTCAGGGGGATGACCACACTGCAGTCTCTTCTCTGATGTCTTCATGGCATTTTGGGCACGCATACACACGTACTTGGCTTGTTTCTTTTTTTTTTTTTCTTGGAGAGGTTTTTGCTATAGGGCGAGTGCGCTCGCCAGAAAGAGAGAGAGAGATAGAGAGACAGAAAGCAAGAAATCACTCCCCAGGGGGCATGGCCACACAATCCCTTCTCTTCCATTCTCCTCTTCGGATCTTGGGCATGCACACATGCCCAGCGTGAGTTTAAGCCACTGGGTCTGGGACTCGAACCGCAGTCGACTACATGGGAGTCCAGTGACATAGCCATTACGCCAACTGCTGATCCCAGCAGACTTTTAACTCACCAGTCCCACAATTGTCTAAGTGCTTGTGGACTCTGTCTTTGGAGAACATGGCATGGGCACGAACATGGGTCACATGCTGGCATCTCCCTTGGAAGCCCTGCCCTGGGACATACTGGGCACGGCAGGGAGTTTGAGAGGGAGTTGAGGGTAAGCCAAGGGGCAAGCCAAGGGGCAAGCCAAGGGGCACGCCAGGCACGGGCAGCTCAGCCTCACAGCATCCTCCGCCAGCCTGGCCATGGTGCTCAGGCTGGGAGCAGCAAGCCCGTGAGTCTCGGTTCATGAACAGTCGTAAGCTGCATGGGCTTGACTTAGCCAGGTTCCATGGATCAGCAGCTTTGGAAATGGCTTTTCAGGTCCTATTCTCCACCCTGTCCTCTGACTCCCCAGGATGGGAGCTAGTGTCCTCGACCAGTCCCCGCACACCATCCTATGCATTCCTTCAGGTCAGAGCTCAGAGCCACCTCCTTTAGGAAGCACCCCCTGCCTTACCCTGTCCCCCAAGCCTATATACCCCTATAGCACTGGGCTTTCTCCCCATCGTGGTAGGTATGGTTAGCTAGTTGTGGCCTGGCTCATCCCCGTGCCAGCCATCTGGGCCCTCTCTGTCCTGTAGTATCTAGCGCTCGTAGATGTTTGCTGAATGAATGATGAGCAAGCCCGAGCAGAGTTGATGTAACTGACAGGGGCCACCAGGAAGCCATCAGCCCTGACCTGGACAATCTCTGAGAGTCCTCCCTGGAGATGGGCCCCAGGTAAAGCTCAAAGTTCCCAGTTAGTCCCTCTCCCCGCCCACACACAGAGGCTGAGCAGCAACCTCCTACTTCTCCCGTCGATGATCACTGGTCAGACCCCTGGGGTAGCAGGGGTCAGGCATGTTGGAGTCTCACAGACTCATGTGGCCCAGAACACATCAGACAGGTAGCCAGCAGGGGGCTCAATTCTCCTCCTCTGTCACCATTACCCCCACCCCCTAACACATAACATACTCACTTTTCTCTGTTAAAAATCACAAAGTCTTGCTGGATTGCATCAAGGCAGTCCTGAAGATAGTCGTTCTCCTGTGCACAGAAAGACACACGTGTGAGTCTGCAGTGGACGCGGTCCAGGTTCTGCACAGGTGCCCTCGGGTTGGTCTCTGAGCATCACTCTGAAACCTCCACCTGGTCAGCTTTCCCTAGAGCCTGCCCCTGTGGCTTCCTTTGGAAGTCTGCCTCTGGGCTCCTGGAGGACCTCTGCCCAGCTCTCTGGCTAGTGGGTGGACAGCTTGCTCCATAATGCCTGCAGGACTAGGCTGGAAGCCACACCCTTGCCTAGACACTCCTTCCCTGTCCTGTTTTCCCTACTCCCAGGCCCTTGTTACTGGTAGACAAATTCCTATCTCAGGGTCGGCTTCTGGGGAACCTTCCCAGGGAAGGCTGGTACCAGGGGCTGTCCTGGGAAGCAACCCTTTGGACTGGAGTTTGGATTTGGGGTGCTCACTGGCCACATAAGCAAGGTGGCAGGACTGTACTTACTAAGACTCCTCCCTAGGGTGAGTTGAGAGGGACGCAGGTAGAAGGGGACATGCCGGCCACTACCACAGCGCTGGTGTTTGTATGATGGGGGAAAGAATAATTATAAGGACTGCAGTTTGCTTGGTTCTTGTTGGTCACTGTCAACGTATGAGCAAACAAGACTCATGCAGCCAACTAGCACTGAAGGCAAAGTGTGAGTCAAAGGCCCCCACAGTCGGATGCTAGTGAGAAACAGATATGGTTTATTATCTGTTGAAGATGACGTGTATAGTATTCTCAACTGGACTGGTCTGGGAAGTATTTCATGATGGGTGAAGTCTTTTAACAAGCAAAATGAGAAATAGTGATTGACTGTTTTACAAAATTATAATAATAATTATTGGGAAATGCATGGAAAAGACTTTGAATGATAAAGCGGGGAGATCGATGCCTCTGTATTGACTGACATGCATGGCATTCCCTTTTGAAAAAGCAATGGAAGTCAATGTAAAGTTATATGTAATCCAATGTAATATAAAGAAGATTATGATAATAATAATAATAAAAAAAAGGCCCCCACAGTCGTGTTTAAAGGGCCCCTCGTTTCCTGCAGCCTGCGGGTAGACCACGCTGAAGAACACACTCAGCTGTGAGAGCAGCAAAACTTCAGAAAAGGCTGAATCCATAGCCTTGAGAAGTCTGCTACATCAAAGTCAGATCCTAAAGAGGAAAGAGTTGGGCTCTGAAACTTGGGAGGGACACATAAGTGGATGCATGTGAGAACACTAACCCTGATTCCTCTGCACTCCCTGAGCCTACAGAAGTCACCCCTTCTCCTTCTGCTACAATAGGGTCATGACTGCAGCAGGTGCCTTGTAAAACTCGCTCCCTACTCTTCTAGTTCCAGAACAATGATTAGGTGTGCAGCACCATGGCCGACTGGGAAGTGTTAGCCCTGCGGAGGGCCTGGCTAATGCGTACCAGCAAGAACCAGGGGAAGCTGCCTGGGAACAACCTTCGGGGCTATGGACTGGGGCGGAAAGAATGGAAAATGGGGCTGGGTAAAGGAGTCTTTGGATATGTGGACCTTTTTTTCTTTCTTTCTTTCTTTCTTTCTTTCTTTCTTTCTTTCTTTTTTGGAGAGGTTTTTGCTATAGGGCACATGCTCTTTCTTTCTTTTTTGGAGAGGTTTTTGCTATAGGGCACATGCGCTTGCCAGAAAGACAGAGAGAGACAGAGAGAAATCACCCCCCGGGGGGGGGGGGAGGCCCACAATCCCTTCTCCATTCTCTTCTTGGGATCCCGGGGGGGTGGATGGCCACACCACAATCCCTTCTCCTCCATTCTCTTCTCGGGATCTTGATCTTGGGCACGCATGCACATGCACCCAGCGTGAGTTTAAGCCACCACACACATGCACATGCGCCCAGCATGAGTTTAAGCCACCAGGTCTGGGACTTGAACCGTGGTCGGCTACATGGGAGTTCAGCGACATAGCTATTATGCTAACTGCTGGTCCCTGGGAGCAGATTTTAATACGCTACGGGATAGCTCTGGAAGACTTGGAAGAACTGGTGACACAGTGAAGACTCCAGGCCACCCTTGGAAGAACGCTGAAGGAGGATGAAAATCTCCAAGAAGTGGGCTACTAGAATGAATAACAGACTCAGAATTGAAGACCCGAGGACCTTCCAGGTGACCATGACCTTCTGGAATGCCCAGTGGACATGCCTTTCAATCAGGTGATGAGGAATGAGCTGGTGAGGGGCACCGGGATACCAGATGCTGTTACAGAACTGAGCCCCCTAGCAACGTGGTGATGAGGACGAGCCAGAGTAGCAGACACGGCTGCACTTAACCACAGAGGCACAACTGCTCCAACGGCTGCGTGGCCCGAGTGGCAAGCAGGACACCATGACCCTACGGTGATGTCTAAAAGAGCAGGGTGTCCTTCGGGGGCAGACAGCTGTGCCAGTATTTGCGCGTGAACACACACACACGCACGCACGCACGCACGCACACACACACACACACACACACAGTAACTATGTAGAGATGAGATGTTAATTAGCTTTCCTGTGGTGACCATATACCACGACGTAGATGTTTACTGAAACACCAAACTGAACATCTTAACTATTGGATTGTCAGAAAAGTTATGATGCATTTTTGCATAGGAAACCATGGGAAAAAATACGTTATGACTTTTCTGGCAACCCACTATATACAGTTTTCATATGTCGGTATCTCGATACTGTGATTAAAGTAGCTAACATAATGGAAAAGGTCCAGTGATAGCTCCTGAAACTCTACCCCGCACCCCTCAACAAATCACCCTAGGCGGTAATAAATCAACGTTAACCCGGCGTGGAATGGCAGCGGGAAGTGCCACCGTCACCATATTTACATTCATCCCTTGAGGTTGAGGATACGACAGTGGTCACCTCCACTGTTTCCCTATCTAATTCACAAGTCTAGAGGGCCAGACTTGTAAATGAGACATGTCCTGGCTCACATGGGTCCAGGGACAAGGGGATCATGTGTCCTCTCCAGTGTTACCGCTGTCATCCCCGAATCAACCCATAACTGTGGTTGCTTTCTTGTGAACACCAGATGTCACTTGGTGTTACGGCTCACCTGTTTCCCTCCAAAAGACACGTTCGAGTCCTAATCTGGGTACCTGTGAATGTACCTTCTTTGGAAACTGGATCTTTGCAGATGTAATGAGGTCAAGATGAGGTCGTGCTACGTTAGGGTGGGCCCTGAGTCCAGTGACTGGTGTCCTTATTAAGAAGAGAGGGGAGACACACAGGAAGGAGGCTGTGTGACAGTGAGGCAGAGGTTGAAGTGTGCAGCTACGAGCCAAGGAACCCAATGAGTGACGGCCACTGCCAAAAGCTGGAAGACCCAAGAAAGGATGATCTTGCCCCTGGAAGCTTAGGAGGAAGCACGGTTAGGCTAACACCTTGATTTTAAATTTGGACCACCAGAACCGAGGTTCAAATTTCTGTTGCTGGGGCCAACAGATGGCATAGCAGTTACGTTGCTGGACTCCCACATGGCCGACCGCGATTCAGGTCCCAGACCCGGTGGCTTGAAACTCGTGCCGTGCATGTATGCGAGCATGGCCAAGATCCTAGAGGAGAATGGAGGAGAAGGGATTGCAACATGGCCATCCTCCCTAGGGGGTGATTTCTCACTTTCCTTCTCACTGTCTCTGTCTTTGTGTGTGTCTGTCTCTCTCTCTCTCTGGCAAGCACACACTCCCTAAAGAAAAAAACCTCTAAAAAAATTCTGTTGCTTTGGCCACCGGGTTCTTAGTCATTTGTTACTGCAGTCTCAGGACACCAATGCACCTGGGCATGGCATGAAGGGCTTCGCATCAGTGACTCCCGTGCATGCTTTCAACCCGTGCTCCCGGTGGGCACTGCCCACCCCACTTCAGAAGGCATGCGAGGCTCAGAGAAGCTATGGGCCCGCGGTTAAGGGGGAGCAGAGAAGAATGCTGGGAAAGGGGAAAGTAGGGTACTGGGGCCTCTCAGGATGCTGGACTTCCAAGATGTGTAGCCTGCAAGACTCTGAGGGACCTTTGCACACCACACACAGGGGGTGGACAGAAGCCCCAAACCCCGAGCCAGGTAGGGAAGTCCCACTGGCCCCAGCACTCACGGACTGGGAGCTGTCCCTGCTGTTGTCCCGGGACTTGTTCTTGGCCAGCCGCTTCTTCTTCTTGTGCAGGGGCCTCGACTCCAGGATCATCTCCTCCAGCTCGAAGGTGGGATCGCAGTGCAGGCGGCCTTTCTGTGAGGAGCAGGTGCTGAGCTCTGCACATTGCCACCTGCTACCCAGCCCTGGGGCCACCTGCCTGAGCCTCCCCACAAGCTTACATTAGGCACAAAGCCTGGCTCCACCTTCTTCTCGCTCAGCTCGTCCCACAGCACGTTGGCCAGTGACGGGGCCGCCTGCATGTCCTGAAGGCTGGAGAACCGGTGCTCGGGGTTCACAGTGAGCAGCTGCAACGAGGCCCATGTCACACAGGGACCCCAGGGCCCCAAAGCCCTGGTGGACCCCAGTGGCAACGTCACTGGTCCCAGGGCCTAGCACTTGCTGGTACCAAAGAATCGGCCACCTACCCCAGACCAGAAGTCTGGGGTATCCAGAAGGCAGGAGATTTGGACATTGAGGACCTCAAGGGGCACACAGGCAAAGGGCACTGATGTCAGGTAACGCAGCACAGTCCTCTTAGCAATGTGGTTCAAAGACCATTTAGTGTGAGCGGAGCTGGCTAAATCCCTGGTGCCCAAGGACGGCCGAGGAAACCTGCGGGGATGTTCTGCCAGGATTTACCGGCAGGTGGCAGGCAAGGCCTGGATTACAACTTTCTCCCCAGAACACGGCACATGGTGGTCTGACAGTAATTCATCCGAACCACTTCATGGCAGTGTGGACCCTCCTGGCCTGAAAAGTCCTGGGCAACTGTGTGTAACAGGACAGTGGCGCCGCCCACCTGGCTCACTGATGCCATGTGCTGTTGTCTTTTTAGGGCTAAACGCCACAGACCCTGTGTAAAATTTACCCAGGCACGGGGCTTGTGAATCCTCCCACTCACACCCATGCCCTCTGGAGCCAAGGTTCCATCTTGTGAACCAGATAAGGTGTGGACAGAGCTTCATGGGACTAAAGCTGGGCTGAGGCTCTCTCAGGGGCTGGGTGGAGACCGCTGGCCGGGCTAGGCCTCTCTAAGCCTCTAGGCTGCTTGACTACAATTCCAGGGCAGTGGGACTCAGAGACAGGGGCCCAGCCTGCCCAAGAGGACACTTTGGCCCAAGAGATAGGAGCTGAGAGTGGCCAGTCCTCATGCAAGGCCACTCTCCTGCACCCTGTCCTGACCCTGGCTTTGCTCTCTGACTCCTCTCTTTCGGATGCACCAGCCGCCATGTTAAAGTACGGCTCTCCGAGTGGGGAGCTGTGCAGGTCCTCAGCGGGATAGCCACCAGCCTAGCCCCAGATCCCGGCTCATGGCAACATCGTGCCAGCCTGACATCCCTGGGCTGCTGCTGACACAGGTAAGACCCAGGGTGCCTGGTTGCTTCTCTGCTTGCTCCCTGGGAGGGGTGGCCCAGGCCGTCTGTGGTGTATAGCTGGTGCCCTCCTCTGACAAGAGGAGCTAGAGCTGCTGCTGAGGAGACCAGGGGGCAGCCGGGACCCTGCGCCCTGGGCCCAGCCTGGTGTACGCACTCCCTCCCACACACAGGATACAGGTGAGCTGGCGCAGGACTTCTCTGCACGGCGACTGGAGGGTCTGTGAAGTGGGGGTGTGGAAGGTGGTTCTGACACACAAGCTTACGAGGATTAAATCAGTGCATGGCTTGCAACAGGGCTTGCTATGAGAAGGGGACCACAGAACCTGCTGCCAGGCCAGGCCAGGCCATTCAGCCCAGCTGAAGAGGAACACCACATGCACAGACTGCGAGGCCCAGAACCATCTTCCCTGAGAGTTGCTGTCTGGGCAAGGTCCTAAATGCTGCTGTGCCCAGGAAACAGCACTGGGGAGGGGCCACTCCGGCCTCCGGGAAAGCAAGCAAAGGAGGGACTGGGCTCACCTTCCGCAGCAAGGCCACCATCTCCTTAGACCAGGTGGGGACGTACTGGACGCTCACGGTGCTGAACAGCTGCACCAGGGACTCCACGGCGTTGTTCGAGTGGATGTCATAGGGCCTCTGGGGGCAGGAGGACAGCACTGTGCCAGCCACTCCTCACCCCCATCTGACCCAGGGTACTACCAGGCACACGTGCTGGTACCCTGAAAGCACCCACCCCACCCCTAGTGCAGGTGCAGCTCTGAGCATGGCCTCCCCCTGCACAGAGGAGCCAGGGAGGTGGCACCTTCACTGGGCCAGACCCCGCACCACAGTCTGGGCCCCCACCTGACTGGGAAGTACATTGCCACCCTCTCTTCCCAAGATGACCTGGGCTCAGGGAGAATCAGCCCCACAGGGTCTTCCTCAGGGCAGGGGTCCCATGGAGTGGCTGAGGAGATGGGGAAGAGGAGCACAAGGCCTGAAGTAGCCCCCCAGGTGGAACAGCATGAAGACGAACACAGAAACTGTGGACATGGGGCACTCCTGCTGGACAGTTCTCGGCCCTGCCCACGAACGGCCTTCTGGGAAATAGCAGTGAGTCTGTTCCTCCCTTACTTGCTTAGATATTCCGCCACAGCCAGGTGCTTTGATAAAGTGCAAGTTGTCTCTGACAGAGCGTGAACACCCCTGAGCACTGGGGGGTGGGAGGCCCTTGGACCACCCGGGGAGGCAGCAAGCTGGGATGTGGGGAGTACAGGAGATCCATACCCATCCTCGCAGCAGCTCGTAGGCCATCACCCCCACTGACCACCAGTCCACCTCGAAGGAGTAGCCGGTCCCACCATTGAGGAACTGGGCCTTTCCAGCAGAAAGGAAAGGAACACATGGGCTGTCACGGGGTTAGCAGCCCTGACCTGCGGGCCTGGGGCCAGCGCCTGAGGCCAGGCTGCCTCTAGAGCTAGACGGGGAAGCCGCCCCTTCAGTGGCTCTGCCCTTTCCCACCTGGAGGGAGCCACTCCCTTCTAGGATGCCCCCACCCCCGGCAGAGAGAGAGCCCAGGTGCAGCCAGTGCCCAGTGCAGCTCCAGGTCCCATGGCCCTGAGAGGGCGGTGAGCTCATCTCGTCCTCACATGTGTGTCCTCAGAGCCTTCTGCAAGAATCAAACATCACCGTACAAACAAGCCTGACTCCACCTTTACTGCTGTGTGACTTCACCAGCCACGGCTCAGCATGGGAGACCCCCAGCTGGCCATGGGTGCTGACAGGATGGGAGTGAGGACAGGGACTGTGGGCATGGGTATGGCCGAGGGACGGTGAGTGGTCTTGGACTTACCCATGTACGGCTTGGTGCCAGCTAGTGCTGTCGCCCTCTCCCCATCCTTTATGATGGTGGCGATGTTGAAGTCGGTCAAATGCGCATGTCCTGTGGGGACAGAGGACAGATGAGAGTCCCAGACCAGAGGCATGTCCTTATGGACAAGGGCCCTGCCACACCACATGCCTGTCCCCCGGCCCACCTCAGGCTCCCCACCTCCAGCCATTGTTTACCTTGCTCGTCCAGGAGAATGTTGTCAGGCTTGACGTCTCTGTAGGAAGGGCAGAGAGTGGGGAAATGAGTCCCAACATCCACTCTCTTCCCTTCCCAGAACCCCTGGCAGAGCTCAAACTTCCCAAGATTCTTCCCGCACTCCCTGCGGCTGAAGCCTGGGGAGACTGACTTGGTCCCTGGACAAAGCTAGAGTCTAAGACCCCTTGGGGCAGGCAGAGGAGGCACTCTCCCCTTTCTGAGAGGGGGCTGAGTGAAACCAGCCGCTCTGGTCCCTGTTAGGGGTACCTACACTCCCACCTTTTGAGTCCAGACAGCAGAACAGCTGGCACTGGACACAGAGGGGGTGCCTGCATCCTGAAGCCCTGAGAGGACAAAACCAGACCCTCCTCGCCTAAATCTTCCAGGCTGCCCCGTATATCAGATCCCCGGGGCTGGGCAGAATTGCTGGCTTGGTTCTGTCCCTGCCATTATGTGGCCCACCAAGCTGGCCTCAGTCCTCACCTTGCCCCAACTGCCAAGTACATAGTGGGGGCCCAGTGCCTGACTCCTGAACGGCTAACACTGCCCACGAGGGCAGAAATCAGGTCTATCTGACTTTATACTATACCTCATAGGTTTTTATTTTAATTTTTTTCTGCGGCTGCAGAATTTCAGTCTAATTTTTGCTTCCACATTTCATCTGCTTTAAGCTAATGTTAAAATTAGTTTCCAGCACAGCCTCAATGGCACACACAGGCAGCGGCATACTGAGCTGCAGTTCGGGAAGCCACATGGCTGGTCGCAGGTTTGGCTTCCCAGCTGATCTGGTGGGCTGGAGGGCTGGGAGGGGATCCCTGCTGAGGGTGCCTGTCTCTCTCTTTGGTGTGCCCCGTGCATGTGCATGCACTCTCTGTCAGGAATAAAATAAACTTTAAGTAAATAAACACAAGGAAGGCTGCTAGGTGGTGGTGGGCGCCTAGGGTTAAACAGACCAGGAAAAAACGACCCCGATGTGGCCAGACCTGATGGCCCAGCCATGAGCACTAACAGCCCTTTGTGCCCAACCTTAGCTAAGGCCACTGGGATAGGGTTCACCCCCAGGTACACAGCTATGGGGCTGACCTCACTGATGGGCCCAGGTGTCACAGCTAGGGAAAGGTCTAAGGGGAAAGGTGGGGCAGAGGAGCCAGACTAGGTTTTGCTGGAGTGTGCATACCCCTCAGGTGGCCTGACCCGAGGCTGCTGCCAGCCCTGCCCGACCTAGGCAGGTGCCCTACCCCGTCAGGTGTGCACACACCTGTGGATGATGTGCTGACTACGCAGGTAGTCGAGGGCCAGCGCCATCTCACAGATGTACAGCCTCACCGTGTCCTCGGAGAACTGGACGTTCTGCTGCAGGTGGTAGCGCAGGTCCCCGCCCAGCAGCAGGTCCACCACCATGAACATGTCCTCCTCATCCTGGAAAGAGTACCTGCGGGCACCAAGGGAGGACCTGGCATGTGCGTGGCTGGGAGCCAGAGTCCCAGCTCCTGTCACACCAAGGACCACAGCCCCAAGCACTGTCACCTACTGGGAAACTCCAGTAGGAGGCCTTGCTCAAGCAACCCTGCTTCAAGCTTCCCAGAGCCGGTATCTCCAGCAAAGACAGGGCACCCTGTCCTTCAGCTAGAGGCCAGCAGTGCCTCTGGGTCCAAATAGCCGGCAGACATACAGCGTTTGCCTTTGGGTTGTTTTGGGCTGCCTTGGTTTCCTCTTCTGTAACATGGGTATAAAAGCATCTGCCTTGGAGGGTTGTTAAAGAAAACAAGACTGTGTATGATGCTTGGTACAGTGAGCAAGGGGCCGGCATTTAATAACCAGTAGGGATGGCTGATGACCATGGCGGTGATGACGAAGATGATTACGGTGACGACGGTGATGGCGGCAGCGGTGAAGATGGTGGTGATGATGGTGCCCGCGTGTGCACGCAATGGTGGTGGTGATGATGAATAAAGTGAAGAGAGAGGAGTCTTGATGGTGCTGCTGGTGAAGAGGATGATAATGAAGACAATGGACGGTGCACAATGACACTTTAAGGACCTCCTTCCACCTTGCAATTATTTTTGTGAGCTTTCAGAGGTGGCTCTATTGTTAAATGACTAAGTACTTCAAAAATAAAGTTAAAAAAAAAAAAAAAGAACTCCGCTTTTCATGTGACGGCTCTACCTGCTCTCCACAAGCCACCCTATCTTCACCCCCGTGGCAGCGTGGCCTGGAGAAGCCAGTGCACACGGGGATTGAGGAAAGGACATGGGATAGAGCCGTAGAGCAAAAGCTCCAGGATGGGCTCGGAGTCCCGGCGAGCAGTGGACACACGGAGGCAAGGCTGCGGGCGCCCCAGTCTGCACCCCCGGCAGGCTAGCCTGTGGGGATGGGGACACCAGCCACGGCAGGAAAGGAAGAAAAGCACATCTCAGTAAATCATGAAGATGACTTGCGGTCTCCAGATCAGTCTGTGTGGAGTCTTTGCCTGTGTAGACACATGCGTGATCAGGTGAGGGCGGCTCTGGGGACCACTTCCCAGAGGTTAGACAAGGATGTCATCCACAACAGGGTGCGGGAGTTAACCCAGGAGCCCAAGCTCCTAACCATGGGCCATGCTGCCTCACTTCAGCTCCCAGACAGAGGCAGGGAACAGCCCTCAGCCCCAGAAGAGAAAAATCCTGTGTCTTTCTTCTTTGCAAGAGGCCTGAGCATCAACATTGTGACCAAGCAGCCACCAGGATGGCAGCCTGTTCCTGTGGGGCTACAGGCCAGGCCTTACCTCTCAGTGAGCTCCTTTCCTCCCTCTGGCCCACCCCACACAGTAGTCACCCCTGCTTAAGGATGAGGGGTATGGCCTGACCTCCACTGGTGGCAGGGGCAGGTTTAAGGAATGTTTGGTGCCTAGAACCATTAACTTCAGAGCCATCGCCCCAGGATGAAGCAAGAACACAGAGACATGGCCCAGCACCACCAGCCTCCATGCCTGTCTGGAAACCAGATAGCCATGAGGACCCTGGGGGCCACAGTGAGTGAGGACAGTGGCACACACAGTTGGGGGACAAGACCATGAGGAAGGTGAGACTCCAGGAGCCCGGAGAGTACTGTTCATTCCTCGTGCCCCTTCTTCTTGGTCTGGCCAGCCTGTGGGCCATTCCACCACACTCAGGGGCCCCAAGGCCTTCACGGCCACCTCTCTGTCTCTATGCAGCCACCCTGGGAAGGCCAGTTTCCTACCACAACATGGCCCAGCTCCTTCCTTCCAGTCACTATGGAGTAGAGCTACCCTACACCGTTCCTGAGCATTGCCCTATGGTCTCTGGGAAGTGGCCACTATCGGCTTCGAAGTCCCTGTTCCTGTTGTGGCGATCACAGGCAAGTATTCAGGTGGGAGGCAGGTCCAGGCTCTGAGTGAGTCGCTGAAATAGCTGGCACCAGATCCACTTTTACACCGAACGCACTCGTCCTTCCTCTCCGTTATCCCCACATGGTAGCTGGGCTGCCTCTTCCTTTAAGTTCAGCTAATGGATGCTCAGATCATTGTGGGGGCAGGGGAATACTTCAGTCTTCCAGAGGCTGCTTGGCCAGGACCGTTTATCACATGACACTAGCTGCAGGGGACACCCTATACTCCATGGAGCTTTGGGGAACAACTCCCTGCCTACGAGCAATTTACAGAGCAGAAAGTGGTATGAGGAAACCCATGGGTGGAGCCTCAGGGCTCACTGGGAGATAGTTAGGAAGGACCCATGAGTCAGGGGTGACCTCTGTGTTGGGGAAGATCTTAGAGTCCAGAAGGATCCCTTTACTGCGGAGGACTCCTCAGTGTGTGTGTGGGGGGAATCCCTGCATCAGGGAAAAGCATGAATCAGGGAGGACCACCGTGCTGGGGAGGACTCCTGTGTCAGGGAGGATCTCTGAGTTTGGGAGGATCCCTGTGTCCGGGCAGCTCACTGTGCTGGCAAGAACTCCTGAGTTAGGTAGGACCCTATTGTTGGGGAGGACTCCTGGAGAGCAAGGAGATGTGAACCTCTCAGTTCATCTAGACTCTCCCCCTCTGATCTCAGTGCCAGAAAGTCTATGGGTGGCATATCTCCTTTATAGGTATGCCCTCAGCCTCTGGCAGGTTCAGGGGAGATACTGCACTAACTCTAGCATGCCAAGGACACCTGGGTCCTGCTGGCCCTGAGGCACAGGAAAGTGAGAGGAAGGGGCAGCTCAGGGACAAGTGAGAAGCTTCAGAGGTGGCAGCAGGTCCAGCCTGGCTAACACATAGAGCTCACCAGAGGTTCACCAGGAAGACATGCTCGATCTCCTGTAGGATCTCCAGCTCTCGGAAGACATTGCGGACCTCGTCACGCTCGATGCACTGCTGCTTGTTCATGTATTTCATGGCGTACATCTTCTCTGTGTCCCGCTTCTGCACGATGCACACCTGGACGGCAAAGGATGTTTCGGCAGGGCGGCATGGAGAAGTGAGCTTCACAGCCCCCTCCACCTCCCCACCACAGCAAACACAACTCTGAGGCACCTGAGATTTCAAGTCCACAGGGACTTGAACAGAGACCTTCTGTAGATAGGAAAGATTCAGCCTAAGAGCACTCAGGCATAAGCCCAGCCCACAGGGTGGCTGTTCTGTGCAAGGCAGGCTGCATTGGTTGCCCCTCACCAGCCATAACCTGGGCAGGTGGCTTCGGTTTCCTAAACCACAGGGCTCAGAGCAGAAAGTGGCTTAGAAGTCTATGGGGAATGACTGATTGAACCTGCTTAGCATTGAGCTTAACATCTAAGAAGCCCTCATTAACCACAGGGCCATCATTCTCATCACAAGAACTTTCTGTGATGACAGGGTGGCACGATGTCCTCTGAGAACTGAACTGTCAGTGTCAACTCGCAATGCTGACATTGCTAATACAGTGCTAATTGCTAGGCAGAGAGGATCAGAGTGAGGAGAGGAGTGAGAAGTATAAAATGAGGAGAAATGAAAGCTGGGGGTTCCTCTGTGGGCAAGAATGCTAATCAGAATTGAGGACAAGGATCTCCAAGGGAAACCAGGAATTAGGTACAAAACCATAGGCTGTAGAGCCAGCACTCTGGTCTCCATTCAAAGCATGGACAGAACTCAAGGACAGGAAACCCAGAGCTATTTCTGAGGCTTTCCACAACCTTTGGTCTCCTAGTTCAAGAGCAGGAGCCCAGGAGGGCCCAATGGAAATGGGAGATTCTGGAACTTAAGGTAGCAAGAGGCTGTCTCAAGTACCTCACCCAATGACAGGTGGCCTAGAAGTGACCAGACATCTTAACTGGTATCAGAGTCTTGGGCCAATCCTGCTGGATCCAACTCCACTGGGCCCTGACTCCAGTCCAATCCCCTCCCCTAGTGATCTAACATGCAGCAGGTTGAGAACCATCCTGGCTGCTGGGAAAGGACCTGCAAGCCATTTTAAGAGCTGGCTTATGGCCTGAAGCTGGGAGATCTCGTTGACATGGGTGCCACCTTTCAAAGACAATCAACCTAGATTATTAAAATGGGCTTACTATCTAGACTTCAGCCAGAAACACAAGCAAAATTCTTCAACTGCTGACACGCAAAGCCATGGACTCCAAGAGACTCCTGATGTAGAAACATCATGTCCTGGAATATAATTAAGTCTTGCTCCTAATAACAGAGTTGGCTCCTAATCACATAGGCCAAATGTAAGGCCACCCCACCCTCCACACACACACACACACACACACACACACACACACGGTCCCAGTGGATGCTGCCGTTGGGGAGAGGAGCTCTGACTTTCAGATGGGCCATACGATCTGGGCAGGAGGGGCTTCAACATCAAGGGGAAATAGAGGCAACCAGACTGGAGCAGCACAGCCTGAGTCATGCGGCCTCTGCTGCCTAACTTTCCAGGATTCAGTGAAATTCTGAAAAGAGAAAATGCTCTGGTGCTTCAAAATGGGATGCTGCTAACTATGTTGCTTGATGAAAGAGAGGATGGGCCATCTCTGCTGTGAGGAAGTTTGAAGTTCCAACCAGGGCCGAGGGAGCTATAGGGTTTGGTCTTGGACGAGAATCCTAAGCTCGGTCCTACTTGGCTTTGTGTTCCTGCCATTCCTGTGGGACGGGGCAGCCTCAGTCATACTCCTCAGCTTCCTCAAAAAAAAAAAAAAAAAAAAAAAAAAAAAACCAGGGACAGAGGTGTAAGCCCAGCAGTGCAGCAGGAGGAGCAGGGAGGACATTGTCCTCTCTAGTAACCAGTGAGCAGATTGAGGCTTTTGCTTCTTAGAGCACAGTGATTCAGCCACATGAGGAGACTGAGTTGTGTAGGAAAGGGACAGAGTGTGAGGAATTTCAGGATCCATTCTTTAACTACTCAGCAAGTCAACACCCACTTCTGGCATCCATTAAGCCCTCATGGGCGAAGTTCCCATGCGCTCACTGAGAAAGGGATGCGTACGTTTTATTGTGCTGACAAGCTTTCTCAGAGTGTGGACCACCCGTTACCTCAGGCTCAGACCGCCTTGGGGCTCTGGACTTGAAGGTTCAATGGCTGTTGGACATCTCTGTTCATGGGTATCTCTCAAGAGTCCCACTCAGCCTTCTCTGGCATTCACATCAGAGGAACCAAAGCAGCATGGCCTACTGCTCATGTAGAAACCAGGAGAAACCATCTGGCCTGCCCCACCTGCCCTGGTCTGCCTCAGGCTCTGGGCACAAGAATGGACCACATGGATGAAGGAGATAATAGACCTTACTGCTCTTTTCGAGAAGCAGGAGATGAAATTCCCGTGTGAAAGCTGTCTTGCCTAAACTGAAAGGAAAGTAACATTCTTTTATATGAATTATTATTTTTTTTTAGTTTCCATGTGTTTGTGTATTTTCTTTTTATTAATTTATTCATTTTACATACTTTCACTGAATATCACCACAGCATACCAAATGCGATTTTCCAACCAGAATACACTGTAAAGTATATTAATCATACAAGATATCATCAACAAATAATTTTCCATTTCTTGTTTCTTTTTTTTTAATAGGTTACTTTGTGTTGTTAAGGTTTTTGCCATAGGGTGTGTGCACTCACCAGAGACCCAGAAAGACAGTGAGAGGGAAAGTGAGAAATCACCCTCTAGAGGAGATGGCCATGCTTCAATCCCTTCTCCTCTATTCTCTTGGGATTTGGGGCACACACAAACACACACACATGTGCCTGGCATCATTTTCAAGCTGCCAAGCCTGGGATCAAACCTAGATTAGCTATATGAGAGTCCAACCCCAACCAACACGCCACCTGCTGGGCCAGAAAACGACATTTTTATCATCGAGGATGTTAACTACAGACCAAAAGAGTTCTGTACAGACCTCATTAAAATAACTTTTATCTTTTAAACCATACTACAATCAAGTTGCTTCTTCATAAATATTACTCTTGGTTCAATTCAGTACATAAGATTTGCCTCTAACTGCTTCTTTAAGTCTTTGCTTCCTTACGAGGACTCCTGTGTCACCTAAAACTTGTACTGAATACACTGGTAGCCTTTCTCGTGTTGATGTCTCATGTCAATGTAATTCTCAGGCCCAGCTGAAAACCATAAGAGGGTAAAGGTAAGATTTTGCTTCCCCTCCAATGCCCATCCCTCAAGCACAGCAGGGCCCATGACCTCCTGATAACTGAGGAGGGAGTGGGCCCTGCTGCTTTGGGATTGAACTCATGGGTCATCAGGCCTAGGAAATAGCTCTGGGGAGCCCGATCCTTACCTGAAGCACCACTGGGGTTCAAGGAGATTCAGAAAGCCCACTGAGGTCACTACCTCCTACCAAGGCTGCCATCCAGTGAGGTCATCTTCAGTCAAGGTTCTTTCAGTCAAGGCCACCTTCTGTCAAAGTTACTCCTATAAAGGCCTCTGTGGTCAAGACCTCCCTGGATGGTGGGCCACCTTGGCTGCAGAGCTCTGGCCCGCGTGTCCTGGGGAAGCTGGCTTCCCCCAGACCTCTGACCTCTTACTACTGAGTGCTCTCCACTCTGGGTTCTGTCCTCCTCTATGACCTGTTCAATGACCCTGAAATCATGCCTCATAGGCCTCCACCTACTCACCCCAGCCACCGGCAGCAAAGTGAGTTGCCCCAAGTGTCTGCTGGAAGGATCAGAGGCACCACACAGATGAGGGAGCTGCACAGCGTCACCTGAGCACACAGGGAGCTGGGGGAGATGTAGTGAAAGAGGAGACACCTTGGGACCCATGTTACCCAGGGAGGGCTGCTCCTGAGGAGACCGGGCAGGCCCCTGGAATGCGGGGGCCTCATCTCCCTTGCCACAGTGGGCAGGGTGCAGGTGGTGGGGAGGAGGGTGACGTGTGATCCCACGACCCAAGGATCAGAGTAGACTCTATGCTGATTGCTGAGGCTCATCTTTTTCCAGACGCCATACTCTTCTTGTACCTCAGCAGCAATACTCTGAAGTACTGGAGATTCCTCTGCCTACACGTAGAGACCCAGCTCCTGGGGAGCTTTGTGCTGTTTGCAGCCCAGCAGGAGTGCTCACCCTGGGCTCCCACTCTCCCCTGTGCCACATCTGCTACCTCCCCAGCCCCCAGCCAGACCCTGCAGAAAAGTCACAGGCATCCCGTGAACCCGGGTGCTACCTGCTACCTGCTGTGTGCCTGCACCCAAGTAGTAAGGCTCACGGTGACACAGGTGTCATTAGCAGGTTGCTGGACTCTTCGGTCTTAGATGCCATACCTTGTTACGAAGGCGCCTGACGGCTCTGCTCTCTGAAACTTGTTTCTGCATTTCATTGATTGAGCCTCCTCTCTGGCAGCAGAAAGGCTTCTGACCTTCCCTTGGCACCTGGAGCAGTGCCACCTTCATCGGGGTGGGACAAAGCCCAGTCATGGAGGATGAACCAATGTTCTCTGCTCCACTGACTGCCTCAAAGCTGCTGGGTCTGGGAGGGGCCATGGCTGCGCCCATTAGATTCGCACTTAAAGAAAGACCCCCCCGCCACAGTGAGCCCCGAAGGGCCGCCCGTGAATTTCCTGACACCACTTTCTGCCAGCTTTGTCCAAATCTGGGTCCTTGCTAAAGCTGGTCACCTGGGGTCAGCCTTTGCCTGGGTTGTTCCCTTCCCACCTGCACCTCCAGCTCTGGTTCCTCTAAAGTAGGTCCCCAGGGTGTCTACACAGTGGCAGCAACATCATACCCTAACCAAGAGTCCCTGTGGGGGGTTGGCACCTGCCAGCAGACCCCCCAGCTATCCCATCCTCCCCTGTAGGTTCATGGAAGGCTGTGTATGTATGCTCCTGTGAGGGAAGAAAAGTAGGACATGAGAGAAATTCCTGGGGCTTCTCCATTGTTTTTAGCACTTGGGAGGATGGTATCAGCATTGGGAATTGCTTGCGAGACATTTTATTCATGGGGGAAAAATTCCACCAATTTCC